CAACCAAAGTGCAAAAGCAATTCAATGGGGAAAGGAAGTCTCTCTAACAAATAAGTAAAACGATTTAGAAAATCAATGACATCCACTGTCTAACAACATCATAAACATTTATTGGTAGTGGATCACAGATTTACACATAAAAGTTAAACCTGTATTTTACTATTGGAAGAAAACATATTTGTGGCTCTGGGCTAGGCAAAGATAGATATAAAAGGACATTAAAAAAACTATAAAAGAAAAAATAAAATAGACCTCAAAAAATTAATAATTTCTGCTCATCAGAAGATAAGAAAATGAAAAGCCACAGACTTAGAGAAAATCATAAAATACATATCAGAAATGGGCCTTTTATATAGACTATACAGTATTCCCCACTTATCCATGGGGAATAAGTTCCAAGACCTCCCACAGATGTCTAAAATTGCAGATAGTCCTGAACCCTGTATATACTATGCATGATTTATTTTTCCCTCACAATTTCATGGACAAAAGATTCATTCTTACCATAGATTTTAGCAACTTCAACATATGATTTTTTAATTCTTTCCATATTAAGTCAGGAACTTTCACCTTTTCACTTAAAGGAAGCACTTTCCGGCTTCTCTGGCATACCTGAATTTCCATCACTGCTCTTGTGCTTTAGGGCCATTAAGTAAAATAAAGGTTAACTGAACACAGCATTGATACTACAACAGTCGATCTGATAACCAATAGACTGAAAGTGGTGGGTAGTCTAGACAACGTGGATATACTGCAAAAAGGGATAATTAATGCCCTGGGTGGAGAGGTGGGAGATTTCACCATGTTATTCAGAATAGTGCATAATTTAAAACTCAGGAGTTGCTGGCTGGGTGCAGTGGCTCACGCTTGCAGTCCCAGAGTTCTGGAAGGCTAAGGTAGAAGAAATGCTAGAGGCCAGGGGTTTGAGACCACCCTGGATAACACAGTGACACTGTTTGTTTCTACCAAAAAACCCAACCAAAACAAAAACTAAAAATTAGCTAGGGATGTTGACGTACACCTGTAGCACCAGCTACTCAGAAGGCTGAGATAAGATCACATGAGCCCAGGAGTTTGAATTTATAATAAGCTGCAGTCATGCTACTGCATTCCAGCAAGACTTTGTCTCTTAAAAAAGCCAAGCAAATGAACAAGAAAGCAACCCACTCCCCCCGCCCCATACATCAAAAACCCTAAGTTATTCAAGGAATTTTCCACTTAATGTTTTTGGACCACTGCTGACCAAAGATAATTGAAACCAAAAAAAGCGAAACTAAGGATAAGGCAAATTCCTGTATTTTACAGAAAATATCTATAGTCAAAAGAAATATAAAAATGAGGAAAAGATACTTTTAGTTAAATATGTATCTACTAGATGCCTTGGAAACTCTACTCCTACATGTTTGCCCAAGAGAAATAAAACATTGCCACAATAAGACTGTATACAGCTTTATTCACAACAGCTCCAAACTGGAAACAACCCAGCTGTCCACCAACAGGTAAAAAGCAAATTCTGCATATTCACATAATGCAACACTACTCTATAATTTTTAAAAAGGCACAATAAATCAACGCAATAACATGGATGAATCTTGAACATGTTTTGTTAACCTAAAGAGTCTAGATGTAGTACAAGTATATATGATTCCATTCATAAGAAATTCAAGAGCAGACAAAAGTAATCTATAGTGACAGCAATTACAACAGTTATCGTCTGTTCTAATGGGGTATGGAGATTCACTGGAAGGGAAAATATAGGAAATCTGTGTTAATGAACATAGCCTATACCTTGACTGAAATATGGCTGCATAAATGTAATTTTTTTAAAACTAACCCAGTTAAGCCCTGGGTATTTCACTGTATTCACATTTTACCCCACACAACATAGACACCACCATTATTACCACCACACTGATAACATTTAGAGAGCAGTGAGGGAATCACATTATTTGAAAATGAGTAATGGGTAATAATTAAGCACTATCTTATCTGATATGTGCATATTTATATACATGTGTACAGATCATATATGTGGATCTGTAATTTGGGTAGTCACAGAGTTTTTCTTCAAAAGTATTACAGGTAATGAAGGAGGAATAAAGAATTCGAATATCACAATTTTGCAAAACTTTATGAATTAGCAAATCTAGGCAATCAGAATCCATGATAAAAATTACCAGAAAAGACAAAGCGAATGAGACTAAATTACCCCTACAAACCAATATCTATGAGGTATTTGGGAAGGAAATAAACTCTGAATCTTTTTCTTTTTGTTGAGATAGAGTATCACTCGTGTCCCAGCTGGAGTGCAGTGGTACAATCTAGGCTCACTGCTATCTCCACTTCCCAGGGTCAAGAGATTCTCTGGGATTACAAGTGCCTGCCACCACATCCAGCTAATTTTTGTGTTTTTCAGTAGAGACGGGGTTTTACCATGTTGGCCAGGCTGGTTTCAAACTGCTGGCTTCAAGTCATCTGCCCGCCTCGGCCTTTTTTGCATGTCTTTTTTCAGTTGCTGAAAAAGCTCTCCCTGATTTTACTTCTTGTTGACTTCCTAGAAACATCTTTCCAAATGTCCCTCTCCGTGTCACTTTTTCAAAGTTAGGAGCAGGGACTGCAAGTTTTTTTGACTGGTAATTTTTGTTTCAAAGGTTTGATTCAGATTCAGAGTTGATTTTGCCAGGCATGGTGGCTCAAACCATAATCTTGGCACTTTAGAAGACTGAGGAGTTTGAGACCAGCCTAGCCAACGTGGCAAAACCCCATTTCTATTAAAAATAGAAAAATTAGCCAGGCGTACTGGTGCGCACCTGTATTTCCAGCTACTCAGGAGGCTGAGGCAGGAGAACGACTTGAACCCGGGAAGCAGAGGCTACAGTGAGCCCAGACCGCGCCACTGCACTCCAGCCTGAGTGACAGAGCAAGACTCAATTTAAAAAAAAAAAAAAAATTTAACTGAATCTTATTTCTAGTGGTTTACATATTAAATATGTTGTTAATTTTTAGCTGAAATATATTAGACTCACGGTTTTTATTTTTATGAATTCTGCATACAATAAATACTAACCAAAATACCTACACAGGCACAGTACTGCCAGTTCAGTTTCAGACCATAGCAAATAAGGTGATGATGGCAGTTAAGTGAGTCATACAAATTTTTTTGTTTCCCAGTGCATATAAAAGTTACGTTTACACTATACTTTGGTCAAGTGTGTAATGGTATTATGTCTAAATATTAATACTGTCTTAATTTAAAATCATTGCTAAAAATGCTAATGAATTGAGCATATTTGTTGGAAAATGGTGCTGACAGACCTGCTTGATGCAGGGTTGCCACCAAAAAAACTCAGTATCTGCAGAGCACAGTAAAGTGAGATGCCCGTATTGTCCTTTTTCCCCTGTTATTAAAAGCATTAAGTCTTCAACTATCTACTTGTAGACTGTTTAATGAATTAATATTTTCATATTTATATTGACAAAATAAGCTGAATTTAGTAAGAAAAGGTTTAGAATATCATCAGCTACTCTGTCATTTTTCACATAACACTAGTTTGCCCTTCAAACCATACATTTAAAAATGATCTTAAGATACATACCAAGTATGGATTATGTTGTTATAAAAAGCTAGAAATAAAATTAAAACCTTAATTTCAAAGATAATTTCTCTTACCCTTCAGAGATCATTTGACTTTTTTCATAACTATTAGAAATTGTATGTGATAAATCATATTACAGAGATATTGCTGTTATATTCTTTGTGACTAACAAGTAGGGTTTTCCCATCACCATGTTATTCCAACCCTTTAATGAACCACCTTTTAAACTCTGAATAGATAGCAGCACAGAGGTTGCTAAGAGTAAATAACATTCACCACTGCTGCCAGAAATGACCAAAGGTGCATCAAAATGAAGAAATACTGGTAACTTCCCACAAACCAGGATGAAGAACCTTATAAAACAACAGAACAGATGAATATAATGTAACATACAGCCATCCCTTGGTATATGTGACAGGGATTGGTTGCGGGACCGCCTGTGTATATGAAAATCCACGCATACTCAAGTTCCACAGTTGCCCCTGCAGAACTGGCATACATAGAAATCAGCCCCCTGTATATACAGACTCCCACCAATACTGGATCTGCCAGTAGTTGAGAAAAAAACCCTGCATGTTAGGGGAACCATGAAGTTCACAGCTGTGTTGTTCAAGGGTCAACTAATATAAAAATAATGTTTATTGCTAGATAACTGATATTCATTCTAGTGTTTACATACTTGAGTCTTAGAGCAATAATAACCTTTGGAGACAACTTCCAGGAAGGTACCTGTTTGCATGCCTTCTCACTGCAGTCCACCAGTGGGTGCCAAAAGTGTATCTTTGTCTCTTGACCCAATCTCAGCAGGGGATGGGGAAGCATATGTCTTTCAGAATTGGATGGCAGAGTACACAGAAGTAGACAGTACAGTAGTAAGGGCATTTACTTAAAAGCAGATAGAACTGGGAACCTCCACATCTTTCTGTGGGAATTCAGGGTTCAGTTTCTTAAGGTGTAAAATGGAAACACTAATATGTACCTGGACATATTAAGAATTAATTGAAAGACCGTACCATTTCACTCAAAAAGTGCTTGATCCTGAGTAGCCATGTAACAGTTCACAAATGTAGAATTCAAAAGAAAGGAAAAATATGCAGAAGTGGCAGCCTTATTTTAATTATCTTATCAGCAGTAAGAATACTCTAACCAGTATCAAAAGAAATATTAGATAATCTGTACCCCAAATGCAGGAGAAAATATGAGACTTACATATAACAACACTTCATCACAAGATTAACTCTGAAAATTGGTGATTATATTACAAAAACAAATCTAAGTATATAGATGAGAATTTGCGAGTTTGCTTATTTGGGAATTAGTACCTAGACATAAAGGTCTGAAGCAAAATCACACATCCCTTTAATGAATCAAATCTTCTTTGAAGAAGTAAGTACCTCACCTAATCAGAACAGAATGCCTGGTATAGCTACCGTGATATTATGTAGTTTCTTCTAGTGCCTGGAAATCTAGATTCCGGCTTCCACATATAAGCAATTCAATTTCTTCTGGGCTGAATAAGTACTTTAAGAGAGATTCATTGGTCACCATATGAAAACCTCTCCGAAAAGCCTTGAACTGTTTTTCTGCTGATTTATTGAGAATGTGGTCAGAATAAAGATTGACAAATTCCTTCCTGTTTTCATTTGTAATTGGAATTTTATCACCATTTTCCTTTAGATCATACATCATTGGGTTACCAAAAAGATCTGTTTGTGATATCTGGAAAGTGATCATCATGTCATCTTCCACATTCCCTTCATACTCCAATAAATCTTTTAAACTCTGATATAGAACTGGGTGAGAGTCTCCCAAGTCATGAAAATTCTTTTTTTCCCCATTAGATTCCTGTAGACAACCATGGGAAAATGTACATCCAGTATACCATTATTGTAAATAGCCAGACCCAGTACTATGCCAATCAGAGTAAACTGACCCTCAGTTTCAAAAGAAGATGGATTAAACCAAAACGATTTTATAGATTCATCGTATGTGAACATACCAGTATCTGGATTGAAGATTTCCTCCACAACCAGCAGAAAAAATTCTTTGGAAACACCTCCCTCATCAACTCCTTGTTCTCCTTCAAATTCCACATACAACTGCTTCTTCAAGTCTGCAGGATTTTCCATAGCGATCATCTCTAGCCGGACAAGTGCATCATCTATGATATGGTCACATCTAACTTTGAGTCTCAAATATGGATTCAACTGCTATCCTTGAACTAAGCGGTAGAGAACAGTGATTCTTTGTTCACTGTACATGCGAATTCTATTGTCATAATATAATCCCAAATTCTTTGTGACAGCATTCAATATAAAGGGACATGTCATAAAAGAGAATTTGTTCTCTGTTTCTACTTTGAAAAAGTATAATCTTTATCCATTTCTAATTTCTAGAACCTCATTCAGTGGTTCATTAATAAACTCTTCAAAAGGGATAAGTGGTTTTTGATAATCCAGGGTTTTATCACCAAGTTCAGTTTCCAGGGAGTCCATTTGAGGACCTTTCTTGTTTCTTCTTTCTTCTCCCAACAGCCCCTGAAATGTCAGCTCACTGGACTCAGGGATGGGCTCTTCATCATCTTCTTCATTGTGATTTGTGTCCACTTCCCCTCCTACTACGTTTGCATAGTAAACCATTTTCAAGCACTTAAAAGCAGCAACAATGGCATCATCATCATTCACTAGATTTCGACTGTTAAATTCATTGCTTATGACTTTATAAGTAATAAGTTGCTGAAATGTCTCCATCATTCTCCGAATCTGGTCTGCATTGTATTTAGACCACAGTCTGATCAGTTTTCCTTGGGCTGCAAGGGGTAGCTTGCTCATTGCTTTGCAAAATAATGGCAATGCCATTTCCAGATATTCAGGACTGTGGAGATTTCTATTCTCCATTACAATAATGAACAAATTCAGATAATTAGGATCTCGAGAGTATACGCTGTGATACGTCAAGTCGCATTTCACATTAGGTGACAAATANACTGGATGAGCACACAACAAAAAAGCCAACTACAGCCTCAAACCACTGATGAACATAGATTTTAAAGTTTTCAACAAGATACTGGAAAACTGAATCCAATAGCACATTAAAAGGATACTTTATCTGGATATCACATTATTTTCTTTGATTTTTTTCAATACTTTAACACGTCCCAATCTTCTTGCTTGTATGGTTTTCGATGAGAAGACAACTACAGGTTTTTTATTTTTTATTTTTAAAATCTTTATTCTATCGGTAAGTCTTCCTCTCTCCAGCCTCTTTAAGACCTTGTCTTTGGTTTTCTGCGATTTTAGTAGGATACACCTACGTGTGCATATTTTGATGTTTATACTTCTTGGTGTTCTGTAAGTTTCTTGGATCTGTAGTTTGGTGTATGTCATTAAGTTTGGAAACCACTTGGTCATTATTACCCAAAATAATTCTGCTGTTCTTGTTTATTTTTCTCTGGTATTTTTATCTGGCATTTTATGTATGGTATATTTATTGAATATGTCCCATAGTTGTCAAATGCTCTCTTTTTATTATTTTTATACTGTTTTTCTTTGTATTTCTGTTGGGAATTTTCTATTTACCTGTCTTTGAAATTACTGATTCTCTTCTCAGGCTTATTCAGGTCAAAACTAGACTCCAGCCGGGGTGACAAAGTGAGACTTTGTCTAAAAAAAAAAAGTCTTCTTTTTTCATGACAGTCATTTATTACCATAAACTACCCCGTTAGAACTACTGTTGCTGTATCCAATAGATGTTGACATATTGTTTTGCATTCTTATTTCTCTCAAGATTTTTTTAAAATTTTATTTTAGGTTCATGAGTATGTGGACAAATTTGTTATACAGGTAAATTGCATATTGTGGGGGTTTGGTGTACACATTGTTTTGTCAACCAGGACATAAACATAGCACCAGGTAGGTAATTTTTTGATCATCATCCTCCTCCCACCCTCCAGTTTGAAACTGACCCCTTTGTGTCTATATGTGATGAATGCTTAACTGCCTCTTAAAAGTGAGAAATTGTGGTACTTTATTTTTTGTTTCTGTGTTAGTTCGCTTAGGATAATAGCCTCCATCTCCAACCATGTTGCTGCAAAAGACAAGATCTCATTCATTTCAATGACTGCATAGTATTCCATTATGTGTGTATATATCAGGTTTTCTTTATCTACTCTAACATTTATGGGCATTTAGGTTGATACCAAGTCTTTGTTATTGTGAATAGTATTGCAATGAGCATAGACACACATGTATCTTAAAAGTAGAATGATTCATATTCCTTTAGGTGTATACCCAAAAATAAAATTGCTAGACCAAATGGTAGTTCTGTTTTAGGATTTGTGAGAAATTATCACACTGCTTTCCACAAAGACCAAACTATTAGGTTGGCACAAAAATAATTTATTTTTTTGGCATTAAAGTAAAAGCAACTTTTAATGGCAAAAACCCCAATTACTTTTGTGCCAACCTAATAACTTACATTCTCACAGTGTATGTGTTCCCTTTTCTTCATAGCCTCACCAGCATATGTTATTTTTTACTTTTTAATAACAGCCATGCTGACTCTTGTGACACGGCATCTCATTGTGGTTTGATTGTATTCCTCTAATGATTAGTGATGTTGAGCATTTTGTCATGTGCTTGATGGCCAGATGAATTTTGTTTTTGAAAAGTATCTCTTCATGCCCTTTACCTATTTCTGATAGGGTTACTTGTTTTTGCTCGTTAAAGTTTTTTTTTCTTTTTTTCTCTGTCTCTCCCAGGCTAGAGTGCAGTTGTGTGATCTTGACTCACTGCAACCTCTGTCTCTCAAGTTCAAGCGATTCTCGTTCCTCAGCCCCCAAAGTAGCTGGGATTACAGGTGCACACCACCACACCAGGATAATTTTTGTATTTTTAGTAGAGATGGGGTTTCACTTCTGACCTCGAGTGATCCACCAGCCTCGGCCTCCCAAAGTGCTGAGAATACAGGTGAGAGACATCATGCCCAGCCTTGCTTGCTAAAGTCCTTTATGGATTCTGATTATTAGACATTTCTTGGATGCATAAGTGCAAGTATATTCTCTGATTGTGTAGGTTATTTACTCTGCTGATAGCTTCTTTTGCTGTGCAGAAGCTATTTAACTAGGTACCATTTGTCATTTTTGTTTTTGTTGTAACTGCTTTTGGTATCCTCATAATAAAATTTTTATCAGGTCTTATGTCTACAGTGGTATTTCCTAGATTATCTTCCAGGGTTTTTGTTTGTTTGTTTGTTTTGTTGTTTTTGTTTTTGAAACTGACTTTTGCTCTTGTTGCCCAGCTGGAGTGCAATGGTGCCACCTTGGCTCACTGCAACCTGCGTCTCTGGGGTTTAAGTGATTTTCCTGCCTCAGCCTCCCGAGTAGCTGCAATTACAGGCATATGCCACGACACTCAGCTAATTTTGTATTTTTAGTAGAGATGGGGTTTCTCCATGTTGGTTAGGCTGGTCTCGAACTCCCGACCTCAGGTGATCCACTCATCTCAGCTTACCAAAGTGTTGGGACTACAAACCTGAGCCACCACGCCCAACCTAGAGTTTTCATAGTTTTGGGTTTTACATTTAAGTGTTTAATCCATCTTGAGTTTATTTTTGTATATGGTGTAAAAAAGAGGTCCAGTATCGGTCTTCTACATATGGCTAGCCAGTTATCCCAGCAACATTTATTGAATAGTGAGTCATTTTCTCGTTGCTCATTTTTATTGACTTTGACAAAGATCAGATAGTTGTTGGTGTATGCCTTTATTTCTGGGCTCTCTATTTTGTTCCATTTGTCTATGTATCTGTTTTTGTACCAGTACTATGCTGTTTTGGTTACTGTAGCATTCTAAGATAGTTTGAAGTCAGGTAACGTGACGCCTCCAGCTTTGTTCTTTTTTTTTTTTTTTTTT